AATAAATATGCCATTGCTTAGGTATTTAAACTTGCATTTTGCATTAAATTACCAATCCACAAATACGAATCGATGACTCAACAGTAGTTCACTGAGGCATAAAAGGAATAATAAAATGCTAAGGCAAATACGACAATAAAGAACAGTTTCTAAGTGAAAGTAATTCATTGCTGTACAAATACAGATTATAATGTTCAATGTGCTGGGACAAGCGAATCTGTGAACAACATGCATTTTCACAAGCAACCTCCTCTGCCTGGCAAGTCCCTCCTGGTTTTCAGATGAATAGCACAACCTCACCTGGCACAGGATAAAGTTTTATTGGGAAAGGTCTAATCTTTAGGCCAGGATCAGCAAGAAAGAGAAGAGGAAAGTACTCTTCCTTCCCCACACTCCCCATCATTCATGGAGAGTAGTGTCAGGGCCCAAGTGATCTGCTATTTTGCCTTTTTATAGGTCAAGTTTTATAGTCTTGCCAACACAATAACTACACAGGCTGCCTGGCATCAGAAAATGAGGACTTGGGGAACCAGTAGCTTACACAGGTTGTCTGGGACAGCTGCCCAGGACGTGGGCAGGTCCCATGAATAGTTAGTTCCCCTCTACCTGCCATCAGTGCTGAGGGTAGTGGAACTTGGGGGCAGCCCCTCCAGGTGAAAATGCGTGGGGTGCAGTTCTACCTAGATTATTGTTCAAGGTTATTTGAACTTGTTCATTGCCAAACAACTAAGTGGTGGACAATGGTGTTACACAAGCCAGACTTAGTCTTCTGTGTTAAACATTTTGGAATTCATGTTTGCTGATTTCAGGCAAGGATACGCCTTCCAGGGCACATTGTCAAGTGGAGAAGGCAGAAAGTGGGTAAGAGGGGCAAACAGAGAATGTCCACACACCCAGGAAGACAGGGCCCAGTGGCAACCCTTGAGAGGAAAGCTTTAGGAGAGCAACAGAAGTAAGAAATGGATGGAAAGGCATGAAATTGATAAATAAAGGGTCACTTTTTCAATATGTTGATCAGGGAGAAAATGAACTATAGGAAACCTATCCGCATGGCAATGGTGAATGTAGCCCAGCCTCTGATTTGGAAAACTGGCAGGGAGCAAGTCAGCACACAGGAACCAAGTCCATGGATTAGTTCTCCTGTGGGGAATCAGGCCTGCATTGTACCTACACTGCTTTGAGGCTTGCCTTTTGCTAAAACTCCCTTACCCTGAATTGAGGCAGCAAATGTTTACTGCATATCTTTAAAGGAACTTGCTAAAATCTGTGCTAAACCTCCCAAGTATGCAGTGTAACCAGTTCAACCACTTTTCCCCTTGCATTTGCAAAACATCCTTTTCTTTGAAGTAATTAGCAACATTCTTTTCTTTGTTATCTGTAAAAGATAATCACCTAAAGCAAACCTATGCACAGTAAACGAGGACCATCCTCGATGTAATGTACCCAGGAAAGCAATAAAAGCCTGTCTAGGCAGGGGTCAGGGCCCTCTCTCTCAGAGAGTGGCTGTGCCGCGCCCTTTTCTCCACAGGACTTCTGTAGTCCATGTGAATGTGTTCGTCACTGCCACAACACACAGACTCCGCTGGCTGGGGTCGGCATCAATGAACAAATTACAAAACTCTTAGAGAGGTATCTGGATTAGGAAGAGAGTTATTTTCTGATTTGGGAGAAAAGCTTTAAATTTTTGTAGGAAGAGCATAAGGACCTACTGCAAAAGAAATACCTGGAGAGAGGAAAACAAATATCCCCACAATGGGAGAGTGGAGTTTTGAAGATAAGTTGGAGTATTACATGGACACTGTCAAAATCGTACCCTTTATTGGAAATCATTCACTCCCCCAATAACAATGAATTAGTCTTAGATGCATTGTGCTATAGTAGATTTACTATGCCATCTCCTGAAAGTGGTTTATTAAGGTTAGACTTTAAAATGTTCTCACATATGACTTGAGTGGATTAAGGCACTTGATTGAAATGAGAAGACCAGATTTAAGGATTAGGTAAAGATTTAAGAAAACCAAACGTATTTTAAGATTGATTAGCCATTGGAGTACTTGTTTTGCTAAAAATTAAATACAAAATAAAGAATAAATTTTAATCACAAATTAAAATGCTTTTTATATATTCTTCTACATCCAACACTTTCAAGATATTTGCAGGCTAAGATACAATACGTTATCTAAATTCCACCTCCAGAATTTTGTGGTCTCTTAGTAACATTTGTAGGACAAATTGGGATATCTCCAGCCTGATCCACTTAAGACTATACTGGGTGTTACTTAATAGATTAAAAACCTCTGGAATCATTGTTTGAACTACTAATAGGTAATTTATCCCATTAGGGACATTGTTTCATGTATTGTTAAAGTACTTTGTTCGTACTTACAATGAGCCAACAACACAGGAACTCTGAGGAGTGGAGCGGAAATGTTTTTTCATGCTACAAGACAGCTGGAATCTCCCAGTGTTCATTGCTATCTGTTGCCGCCCTAGCCCATCCGTATCCCTCACTCAATTACGTAGCCTTTTCTTAAATGCTTCTCTTGTATTTAAAAGTATGGCCTTTTTAAACATCCAATACTACAACTGGTAAAATGAAAATGCCCCTCTTCTAGCAAAGTTGAATCCATTGTTAACCCCTCATAGTCACATAGGTGTGGAGGCTGGGGTGCTTTTGCCTGCACGGAGGCTGGTCCACTTGGTCAGACAGCAATGTCAAGCTGTAATGTGGTACAAGTCCGAAATCTGTTTTAAAAAGACCCATATGTTTCCTTTTCTCATCCAGCCTGAAACAATAAACTAAGATAACAAATGGAATTTTGCAGGCTTTGGTTAGAAGCCTTTATCTTCAAGAGACCTGAGAAGGAAGAGTTTACTGACCTTCCCATGTAAGAAAGCACATCATCTACTGAGATGTGTCTTCTTTGTTGCACCTCCCTATGAAAGAAAAGGGAGACTAAAATTAGCTTTGACTTGTGGAAATGAGAAGTAACCTTCAGGCTAATGTGTTTTCAACATCACTTCTTTCTGGGCAAAAATTAATTGTGCCCCATAATATTACACTACCTCCTTAAAACTGACATCTCCAATAAATTACATTAAATACAGTAAAATTAGAATTCCTACAAAACAATGCCCCTCTCCCTGAGGTAAGCTTCCCATCACTATGAAAATTGACTTTATGTTTAATGGAGTATACCATCTAGTTCTGGGGTTCAAATTAGGGGAGCAGAAATCTGAAAACTGCCAAAGAAATGACATGACAAGTAAAGGCCAGAAAAATACATTAGATTTTTGAGGAAATTAGAACTGTAGGTTAGAGAAACAAATGCTAACTTTAAGGAATGTGTAGAGTTCTTAGCTAGCAGGTGACTTGCTATTTTCAATGTATTTGAAGTAGTGATTAGAAGGAAACAAATAGTTACACATTATAATGAGTTTGTAAGGCGGTAGCTCTTGTATCAACTCTGGCAATCACTACAGATTGACTATATTTCCACTGATTGAGAAAGTTCTAACGTAGTCTTTTTAAAATAGGCTTGGAAATCATAAATGCATTGTTGAATGAATACTGAGTGTTAAGAACTAAACCAGTGCCTTTAGGAGGAAAAACACCATTACAACCTACTTGAAAAATTATCCAAACACCAAACCAGAGACACTGCTTGAACACAAGTTGACAGTACAAACTGTGTGCATAATTTGAACTGGGGGACAATGTGAAGGAAAGGCACTGTTCTCATGAGGTTATTTAAAGCCAAGTGTTCCATTTGGTCTGAAAGACAATGGGAAGACAGACATAAGAAGTGGTTCATGACAAAATACTATCCTAGCATATGTATACAGGATGGATTCAAGTTAGGAGAAACAATACAAACTAAAACTAACCTTAACAATATCTAACATTTACAGACACCAGACACTGTTCTAAACAATCCCATATATTAACAGGTTAAATTTTCACACTAGCCCTGGCCGGGTTGCTAGGTTGGTTGGGAAGGCATCCTGCGCACCAAAAAGGCTGCGGGGTCAATCCCTGGTCAGAGCACAAACCAAGGTTGCAGGTTCCATCCCGGGTCCGGGTACATATGGGAGGCAACCAATGAATACATGGATAGGCGAAGTAATAAATCCATGTCTCTCTCTCCCTGTCCCCTTTCTCTTAAAAAACAAACAAACAAACAAACAAAGAAAAAACAGCAAAATATATCCTGGGGTGAGAATTTTTTAAAAATCCTCACAGTAATGTTATAAGGCAGTTATTATGCCATTTTACAGATGGGAGAATTGAAACACTTAAATGTCTAATTTTGATCTTTACAGTAAGCTTCCTACACAGCAAACCCCCATGCAGGTGATTACAAGCAAAGTACAATTTACTTTCAAAGCAGAAAGGAATACTCATACAGCCACCAACTATATTGTTTTTAAATGTTTTTATTATGGAAAATTTCAAACATACAAATAATATAATAACTACTCTCACACCATGTACCCAATCTTGATTCCTCTATTATACCTCTACTCCCCTTATTATTTTGGAGTAAATCCATACATTATATCATTTCATCATCAATACATCTTTCAGTTAATCTCAAAGATAAGGAAATTATTTTCTTTCTAAATATAACATCACAGCACCTTAAAATTGCAATAATTCCTCAATATCAAGTGTCAATCGATGGTAAAGTTCCAATAATATATCTCACTTAAATATTTATTGAGAACTTATGTGTTAGCATTAGAAACTTCCACATACTAGCTCATTTAAATTGCTCTTATTTAAATAGGCTTTCTTTTTTCTTCCTGCTTTCACTCTTACTAAAAAAAAAAAAAACCGGTAGGTCCCTACCCAAAGATTTAAAAGGCCTTCTAAGCAGTACCCACCCCCGCCCCGCCCCCAGCCACCCCTCGCCCCCAGCCACCCCTCGCCCCTCCCGCAGCGGCCTCCTCCGGGTCTCCTGCGGCTAGTGCCAGCCAGTCCCGTACTACCCCTAGTGCAGCCTAGGCCCCTGGCCCGGAAGCTGCTTGGCGCTAGGATCCTCCCCAGGTTCGGGACCCCGGCCCCGCCCCGGTTGCCTAGGCGATGAAGGGCCGCTTTGCAGCGGCAAGATCATGGCGTCTTCTTTGGGGTTACCTCTCGGGGTGACGACCCCTGTGGCAATCACCCCGGCGGGAACTTCGCCCGACTCGGAGGTACGTCACCCCCCCCTGTCGGTACCTACAACCCTCGAACGCAAGCCTTCGGTCCATAGGATCCGCGGCCCAGGCCCCTGCGGGGGCGGTGTCCTAGGCCCAGGTGGGGGGCGCCGCGTAGTTGAGGGCTGAAGAGTTGGGGCGGTGCGTAGGGGCCAGGGGGCGGTGTTAGGGTCGCGGAGGCCCCGCCCCGCGCTCCCGGTGCCTTTCCGCCAGCCTTTTCCAAGCCGCCTGGGTCCGCCGCCCGCCCCTCGTGCTCAGGAGTGTAAACTGTTACACTGTAGCAATTCCCCCATTGACTGGACCCTTCGGTTTCAGGCCTAAATGACCTTACAGCTAGGAGCTTCTTCCGGGTTTTGATGAACTTAAAAAGGGAATTTTAAATGAGCCAGTCAATCCCTTTTGGAAATTCTACTAATTTTTTTTCAACGATCACAATTCCGATTTATGAAAAGGTGTCAGAAAATACCTCTTCATTGGTACTGGGTTATATTTGAAGGCCAGGGCTTGGTTTTTCCCTTATTATTTTACCATTTCTACAAATAAATACGTAAGAGGTTGGACAAAGGAGGAACGCCTGGGAAATCGACGTTCTGATTGTGGCTTAGTTGCTCATCACCAGCTTGTCTCACGGAAAGTTATTTAACCTCCTTGAGCCCCAAGTGGTTTCCTTTGTACAATAAAGACATATCTTTAGCGTCAGCTCTCAATGATAAATGGGCTTTAGGTAACTTTAATTACGCATAAGCTTAGTATTCTGAGATATTTATTAAGAACATATCTGCTCTGGCAAATATTGCTAAAAAATGTTTAAGTCTTCAAACACTGAGTCCACCATATTGTTACTATTGAAGGGTTTTTGTTTGTTTTTAAGTCCCCAGAGGTAAATAATGTTATATTAACATTGTGTACTCGACTACCTTAGTCTAAACAACGTTCTCTGTGTAGAAGGAAGTATTAGCTGCAATATTATAAATGAGCCAATAATTCATTTGCTTGCTCGGAAATATACAAAGTCGTTCACCATCCAGATTCTTCCCATTTCTCTAGGCAGACTGCGAAGGCCTGCTATGCTGTCTCTGCTCAGAGCCTTTGAAACTAGCATGCTTTAAAAAGTACATGTTAATGTGATAAACACATTACTCCCTTGTTATCTCGAAGTAAGTAATACAATTTCAAAAATGGCATAGGAAATTTCCCAATAAAGTTGCTTTATTTAAATATATACAAAAATTTACTTACGGCAGTGCACAATTGTCTGTGTATACTTACATGTACTTATCCATGTAGATAATACTCTTTCTAAGAAGGCTGATAATTTGAAGTGTTAATGCACGTGTACTTAAAGAAAGAAAGAAAGAAAGACCCCACAATTTTTTTAAAGATGCAAAGAAATGCCATGCTCTGCGGGAAAAATCATTCGGTTTTTATACTGGGTGATGAGTCAGGTCAATGAGCTAGGTGCAGACTGTAGATGACTATCTGCTGTGTTAGCACTGTCAGTAGGCGCACTTGTTCGCTTGGAGGAGTAGCTTTCCCTATGATGATTCCGGATATGCTCAATATGTTCGTTAGTAACGAACGAAAGAAATCCAGTTGGAACTTGGTCTCACTTAGCTGTGCTCAGTTACTAAGAGTACAGGTTAATATGCTGCATGGTGGAAATTCCATGTTTCCTTTCTAATAAAAGCAGAGTTGCTGTAGCTCACAGAGAATAGGCTTGATTCATAGAGCTGTGTCATTCATTAGAGTGACAGCTTCTGCCAGCTACCCATTTGTGCTGACAGGAGGGTCAGGGGTTAGATGGAAAAGATGGCAAAATCTCTCTCTCTTGGAGTCTGTTCCCAAGGCCACAGCTTTTCAGTTAGTTACTGAAAGGTTCTTCTCAGATCAGATTCTGTCCAGAGTTGAACCCCTGAGACCTGGTCCCTTATGGTGTCATTTCTAATAAATTCAGCATCCAAATTTGACTTAGCCAAAAGACCAGGTAGTCATTTGAGCCAAGCAGTAGTGAAATATTTCTTTTCTTGCCAAGTCTATTGGAAATAAAGCATAAGCTTCCAGTAGTCTGAGGCTTCCCATTTGTTGTTTGTTGCCAACACCTAAAATAAAAACATCCAATTATCCCAATCACATAGTAGGCACTCAATAAAATATAACTAATTAAAATCATAGGTGATCTGACATATGCCAGTAGGGGTACTTATCATAGATTAAAATGTAGTCTGTGAGATACTGTGAACAAGCAGGCGTGAAATGCAGGTCCAGGAAAATATTTTTCCTATGACATTGCATAAACTCTTCTTGCCAACTCTCTGAATTTAACATTCCAGGTTCTTTAGTAACATTGGAGTAAATGTCTCTAAAAGGTAAGACTAAACTTTTTTAGCAAGACATCTGTATAAATGCACAAGAATAGAAAAATAACAAAAATCCAAAAATAAATATTTGCTGTAGTCATATGTGTAAGTGAAAAGAGCTTATAAGTGAATTTGTAAATGAGTTTATAAGTGAACACCAAGAATTCAATCATCAATCTTTTATCATTAGTTTGTTCATAAACTGACTTTCTTACTGTCTTCAAGAATACTGTTTGGGAAATACAATCCTTTAAGTAGTAAACTTGAAAGGACTACACTTCAACTCACGTCAGAGACTTAAAGGAAAATGTAAATGCTCCTTCTGGATTATGTCCCTTAGCGTTACCACAACCCCTGATAGATAACATTTCCTCTGTGCATTCAGGGCTTGGTCAGCACAAGAGGACACCTACATAGTCTTGAGTGGGAAGATGACTGTCATTTGTCTTAGAGATCCTCAGCATGTCCTGGAGGAGACCATTGATGATTCTCTGTATATTAGGTGGTCTCTAGGGACCTTGAAAACAGCCCCCACTCTGTTATCAGCAAGTTAGAGAGAAGCACTTGGGGCTCAGCTTGAACAGCAAAATGATGAGGTTTCTGCGATTTCAGTGTTACTCAAGAGGTATCTTTTGAAGCTATTCACAGCACATAGTGTGAATCAACCTGTGCAAGGCTGAGGGAAAGATGCCAAAATGTTGTTTAAAATATTGTTAAGGAAAAGTACTAATGTACCTCAAAATGTTAATGTATAGTAGTATGACTTATCAGACACTGAGAACCTCTGGGAATATTGGCTTTGGGTGTGGAGATACTGACGAACATTTGGGGTTGCCTTTCTTCTTACTATTGGTCTTTGGGTCTCCTGTGTTATTTTAAAAGTCATCTCCCTCCTCCAGCCCTTTCAGGCTACACAAATATAATCTTCAATCTTTTTCTAATATTTAAAGTTTTAATATACTAAGGTTTTTAACTGCTAAACTTAATGTGTGATAGATGTGTATTGTTTATTTGACATGAGGATCTCATTTTGTTTTCTTCTAGATGTGAACCATCAATTATGATACCTTCATTTACTAAATAAACTATCCTCTCTGCTCTTACAGAGAATGGATTGACTGCTGCTATCACATTATGCCATTATGTGTATTCCTGAATGGGTACAAGAATGAACAAAATAGTCAGGGGGACAGAATAGATAAGTCAAATGTATAACAGACATTGCTAGAACTCAGCAGCAAACTCTCAGTAAAGCATGCATAGAAAAAGAAAAGCTGAACATGAAAAAATTATTTGCCAAACATCACCATATTGAATGGTGAAATACTGAAACTATTTGTATTAAAACCAGGAACTAAAAAAAGGGTTTCAGGCTAGTAACATTTTTATAATCCAACATATTGTAGAGGTTCTAATAAAATAAGAAAACTAAATATGTGGTTTAAATCTTAGAAATGAGGCAATAAAAAAAACTTTATTTGGAGATTACATGATTGCATACCTAAGGAACCTGGCATTGTATTTACATGATTTGAGCTAATAAGAAATTTGATAAGGTGGTTACATATAACATGAATATATGAGACCAATTGCTTTTCTCTATATTAGAAATTAATTATAAATGGAAATGGCAAAAAGTTGATTAAACTGTACTTGGTTATAAACATAATAAGAAAGGCATGGGACATAAATTAAAAACTATCAAAAGTTTAATAACAGGAATTGATAGAAAAGATTTATTGGAAACTTTTAAATTTAAAAAATTAAATCCTTCCTACATTATATATAAATGCAATGCAGTGGGACTAAAGAGTTAGTTCCTACATACAATTGTATACTTACAAAGTTATGTTAGAGTTGTTTATGATGATTCATCCTTGCATTTCTGAATTTAACCTAATTTGGTCACAATGACAGCTTAATATTCTTTTATTACATTTCTGGATTCAGTTTTCTAAGACAGTATTTTATTTTATTATTTTTTTGTAATTTTGTTATTTTTGCTCAGTTACAATTGTCCTTCCTTTTCCCCCATTGCTCTCCCCTACCCTACCCCCCTCTACTCCCACAGTCAGTCCCCTCGCATTGTCGGTGCCCATGAGTCCTCTGTCCATGTTTCTTCTCTTGCCCCTTCCCCTTCTTTCCCCAGTTATCCTCCTCCTCTCTCCTTGGTGTTCAGTTTGTTCTTTATTTCCAAGTATCTGGTTCTATTTTGCTCATTTCTTTTGTTTCATTGATTAAGTTCCCCTTATAGGTGAGATCATATGGTATTTGTCTTTCATCTTCTGGCTTATTTTACTTAGCATAATGCTCTCCAGTTCCATCTATGCTCTTGTGAAGAGGAGGAGTTTCTTTTGTCTTTCTGCTGCATAGTATTCCATTGTGTAAATGTACCATAGTTTTTTGATCCATTTATTTACTGATGGGCACTTAGGCTGTTTCCAGTACTTATCTCTTGTAAATTGTGCTGCTGTGAACATTGGGGTGCATAGATTCTTTTGCATTGGTTGATTCAGGGTCCTTAGGGTATAATCCCAGTAGTGGGATCACTGGTTCCATCTTTAGTTTTTTTGTGGAAATTCCATACTGTTTTCCACAGTGGCTGCACCAGTCTGCATTCCCACCAACAGTGTACTAGGG